CACTGCGTACTAGAATAGAATAAGCACTTGATACACCTTTACAGACGTTGGATAGATTGTTACAGTGTGGTAGCCCCGGTCCTGTTGTATGATACTTTCGATTCTGAGGCTTGAGCCTTGAGAAGTTAAGACTTGAGAGGCCTTGAGCCAGCCCAGAGCGCAGAAAGTTCTTATTACAGAGATCTCTTGCCCGTGATACTATTTTTTGGTTTATCTCAGAGAATCGCTGTTGGCCTGATGGGTAATTCTAAAATTAGATTTTTCACTCTCTGGATTGCTGACCCAAACAATATAAATACACATTGCTACTGCATATCAACACTCAAAACAAGGTAATAATTTTCATTTTGTAGGTCATTCATTATCTCTACGTCAATAGTGTAAATATACAGTTCACGACCACCACATATGCTATATACATACAGAATAGTCGTGACTTAAGGTACTATAACCAAATTAAGCGTACAACAGGAATATCTGTATGCCTCTCTCAAATCGATGACCCGTATCTTCATACTGAATAATGACTGAAGTCGACGCGATGGGTTTGCCTGTAGGTGATCAAGGTCGGGAAGAGCAAATTCAAAGGCTCGTACGAGAGAATCGCGAGATCACATTGAAATACGGATTACTTCATAAGAACTACTTAAAACTTCGAGACCTTGTAACTACCATCAAAGAAAATGGGAAGAAGGAACGAGCGGAGTTTGTTGAGAGTGTGACCGATTTACGAGCCAGAAACAAAGGCAGAACAGAGAGATTGGCCCGTAAAGTGACAGAGTTGCAGGCAGTTATAGCATCTCCAAACAGTAGCCAAAGTAGGTGTGTGAGCTGCGTTGGGAAAGATTTGGCCATAGGTGAGAAGAATGCGACAATTGTTGAGAAAGATACGGCAATTGGTGTCCTTACAGAGGAGAAAGAAGCACTTGATAAGGAACTGGAGTCACTGAGGAGTGGCGACCAAGGTGATGCCAAAGCTTGTGAGCAGTGTGTGATCAAAGATGACACTATCTACGCTCTTGCCGTTGAACTGGAACAGAGCAAGTCGATGAATGAGGATAAGGCAGGTGTATGTGAGAGTTGTGTCGAGAAGGACACACGGATTGAAAAACTAGAAACCGAAAAAAATGTCAAAGTGGCCGAGATCAAGGAAAAGGATACCAAACTCGATGAACTAGAAACAGAATGTGCGGAATACATTGTAGTTATTGAGGAAATGAAGGAGAGTTCCGATGAGAAAGATAGGGAGATCGAGGAACTGATGGCAGACACGGCTAAGGAGTGCGACGGGTGTGCCGAAAAGAGCGCGACTATTGACGACCTCAACGGCAGTTGCCATGAGAAGCATATACGGATCGACGAGCTAGTTGCCGAGAAATCCAACAACGAGGTAGATATGAAGAAGTGTGATGAGTGCGCAGAGAAGGACGCAAAGGTGAAGGAATTGGAACCAACGGTCGAACAACTAGAATCAACGGTCGAGCAACTGGAGTCGGGAAAGAATAAGGAGTGTGACGATTGTGCAGAGAAGAGTACGGTTATTGAAGAACTTGCTGAACGATGCGATGAGAAAGAGACACGAGTCGCTGAGCTGGAGGCGGAGATGAGTAAGGAGTGCGATGGTTGTGCTGAAAAGAGCACAGCTATGGCAGAACTCGCAGAACGTTGCGATGAGAAGGACACTAGAATCACTGAACTGGAGGCAGAGTGCGCGGATAAGAGTGCAGCTGCGGAGGAACTCGCACAGCTCTGCGACGAGAAAGAGACAATAATCGATGATCTCGAACGCGAGATGGAGAGCAAGGACACAGAGCGCAAGGAGTGTGATGAGTGTGCGGACAGAGACGCAGTCATCGAAGGACTGACAATCGAGTTAGATAAAGCGTTGAACAACGATGAGGTTAGTACCACCGAGTGCAGTGAGTGTGCAGACAAAGACACAAGGATCTCTGAATTGTGTGAGGCACTCGCGACGACTGGTGACAACAATATAGTGGTGGCTGCGAGTAATCAAGACGGCGCGGAAGGCGTGGAGAAAGACGATATGGATAGAAATACGCAGATTGCAGAGGAACTGGAGAAGGAGCCCTACGAATCTGAGGTGAAGGAGTGCCGAGAGTGTGCCGAGAACACTTCCCGTGTCGCAGACCTCTCGGACGAATTGGAGACGCGATATGGTATCATCGACGAACTCAGGCGCGAGTTGAATACTCGAGATTCGACCATCGCAGATCTCAGAGATGACGAGAAGAAACGACAGGTATGTGATGAGGGTACAGCGAAGGATGCTCAAATCAAAGCAACGGTGGAAGACTCAGCCACGGTCACCAGCGATGACGACACTATCCTGATCTGTGGCGAGAGCGAAAGAACGGAGTGTACCGCGTGCGCGGAAAAGGACGCTGTGATTCTGGAGATGGCCGAGGAGTTGGTGGCGAGCAATGTAGCTAACACGCATACGAATGAGACGTCACAAGGCGACAGTGAATGCGCAGATGATGTGGCCCAAGCAACCGACGCACTCGCGGATTCGGCCGAGAGTGAGGCTAAGAAAGAGAGCGCGTCACACGATGGCTGGGGCGGGGACTACGAGTGTGGCGAGTGTGAGCAGTTGCAGGTGGAGTTGGAGTTGATGGAGGACGAAATGGACTCTCTCAGATTGCGTCTGGAAACAGCCGAGAGTGTCGAGACAGTGGGCGAATGTGTGCCGTGTGCGGAGCGAGCCGCGGTAAAGGGTGGCGAACTGGACAGTCAAGTCGATGACAAGACAGATACGGATGGATGTGCAAAGTGCGTGCAGTTAGAGGCCACCATTGACGAATTGGAAGAGGAGTTGGAGGGGAAGAAGAAGTCCCCCAAAAGCTCTGGAGAGTGTGCGGTGTGCGCCGAAAAGGACGAGAAGATCGAGAGGTTGGAAGAGGAGCTGGGAGTGAAGCACAGCAAGAGCGATTCCTCGCATCGGTGTGGCGCTTGTGGAGGTAACGGTTCGAGTGATGGGGCGGAGGCGGGTGGACAAGAGGCTGAAAGCGATGGTAGTGAAGCAGGCCAGGGAGACAGCCAGGATAGGGTGAAGGCCAATGGGGAACAGGTGGACAATGTTGGCGAGATTGAGGATAAGGATGCGTTGATTGACGAACTTAGACGCGAGTTGGCAGCTAGCAGAAAGGGCGACACCACTGACGAGGGAGGCAGTTCGACGTGCGCGGAGAAGGACGATACGATCGAGGAGCAAGAAGTGATGATCGAGGTTTTGCGGGAGGAGGTAAAGGAATTGGAGGCACGTGGCGCAAACACCGAGGGCGACGAGATGCACGAGGGAACATGCGGCAAATGTGCTGAGAGAGACGCGCGCGCGCAGCATGGGGAGGTGGAGGAAGGTGATGTTGGCGAGCAGGAATGCCCTGCATGCGTACAGAATAAAGATGCTTATGAGAACAAGGATAGATTATTCGAGGAAAAGAATGCCGAGATTGGGGAGAAGGTAGAGGCTATCAGGGCCTTAGAGGCGAAGTTACAGGAGATGAAGGAATTAAGCCATGTAAATCAACATAAAACAACAGAGGGAATAGATGAGCAGTTGGAAGTGGACGCGACCAGTGCTGAGCAAGCTAAATATAACGGTGATCAAGAGGAAGGAGAAGATAGTCAGGACGAGAAGATGACCTGTAAGGAGTGTCTGCACAAGGTTGTTAAGATCGAGGAGAAGGACGAGTTGATTGACGAATTAACACGCGAGTTGGAAGCCAGTAGAAAGGAGGTCATCACGGATGACGAAGATTGTCTGAAGTGTGCGGAGAAAGACGATGCGATCAAGGAAAAGGACGATATAATCGAGGAAAAAGAGGTCATGATCGAAGTCTTGACGAACGACCTGAAGGAATTGGAAGATAGGAGCCATAACGCGGAGGGCGATCAGGAAGACTGTGCAGAGTGTGCAGAGAAGAATGCGAGAATCGACGAATTAGAGGCAAAGGAAGATGCGCCTCTTCAGGGAGAGTGTGGCGAGTGTGTGGCCAAAGAAGATGTGATCAAACAGCTACAAGCAGATGCAACTGGCGAGCATCGCGAGGGGACATGTAAGTGCGGAGAACGAGACGTACAGTATCAGGATGTGGTCGCGGACGAGCGTGATGGTGGGCAAGTGTGTCACAAGTGTATACAGAATGCGGAACAACTTGAGAGCAGAGATAAGATGCTCAGCGAAAAGGATGCCGAGATCGACGAGAAGGTCGAGGAAATAAAGGCGTTGCAGGCGGATTCGGAGGCGATGAAGAAGGAAGACGTTGACCCGACCCGCACACCAGCAGGTAGTAATTGGGTCACCGAATGTGCGAGTTGCAAGCGAACCAATACCTCGTTAGTGGTGGTGCGCCCACCTAGTATCGAGACCATCGAAGAGCTGCAAAGGCTGGCCGCATTGGCACAGCCTCTTTCGAAGGGTTTCTTCGGTTTGTTTGGCTCTGTCTCAGAGCCACATATACCCTGTAGCGAGTGCAAGGAGAAAGACAACACCATAGAAGAACTCGAACTCAAACTGTGGTACAAACAACCGGGCGTGGTAGTGTATGAACGGCCGCCGAAAGATGAATCGCTGGAAACGCTGCAAATGTTGGCGAGAAAGCAGATCTCAAGCAAGCCTAAACCAGTCTTTACTGAACCTGTTGTGCAAGTCTTCTTGGGTGTTTTCGTAGGATTATTCTATGCTATGCAGACCAACGAGCACTGGAGAGACTACAATTTGGCGGACATGCTGTTGTATTAGTGATAGAGGGCACACCAAGTATGTCGGAAAACCCATCCTATAGGTATGAAGTATTCGTTTACCTCGAATGTGAATGGTGTGCGGGATGGAGAAATCCTGCTTACGACTGTCTGCTGATCCTAAGACGACATTAAGAATGATAATATTTGTATTCGTGTACCAGCCGTTGAGTTAGACAAGGAGCCTTGTTAAAGTGATCCGAGTTTTCCGGATAGCATAGGCCCCTATACCTTCGGGATTTGGAATTACTTCGAAACGAAAATAGTACAGTTCGAGTGGTGGCAACAAGACTAGTAGTCACCGACAAGTAGACCCGATATAGCATTCGATGAAGGACTGGTTTGATTACAAATGAAAAAGAGATGTTGTGACGCATTGTGCGAACACAAAGCCTTCGATGAAGTTCGTTAAGAAGAGTTGCGGAATGCACGTCGAGATAACGAGACTGTTCGAGGCGAAAGTCGGAACCAACACAGCGTCATTTGGGCCTAGAGACGCAGAATGTGATGTATCAAGAGTGAACAATAAACCGAACCGTATGTGTCTATAGTAACCTCCAAGGCGCTCCGGCAGGGGTTGTATGCTCACCTGAGACTAAAGGTGCGAGCAGCTGCTACAACGGCTCACGTAAACTGATTGACCGCCATTGAGCTTTCCACTGAATTGCTCGTTATTTAGTGTCTCTGGTGCTCTGCAACAAGCCCAGCCAAACGACGTGGCCAGGCTCATCTTCAGTGGCAATCTGTGGTCTATACACGTGTATGTGATAGCGTATATGTGTCCCCGATGAACTGTATGCCTTTGGACAGTGGTTTAATTGTCGAGATGGCAGATTATAGGGGCGTAATTTAGGATTTAGCATGCCATATTCGCTGGATCATCTCTGACTAATTCAAGTGGATTTAGATGGATAAAGCACAGCAGGATTGGGTTTAGAAATTGTGATCGAACCTGCCGAGCATATTTTTAGGCCACATTTGATCCTTGGGGTATGGAGGTACCATCCATCTCTTTGATTATCTGACGATCAGGCTTCACCTTTCGTGAAACGGCGCGAACTGTGATTCCGGATGAAAAGCAAAAGAAAACAGCACCGAAAAATGAACAAGAGTAAAAAAAGTAAAACTTGTATCGAGTTAGCAGCAAAAGCAACAGGATTCTTGGGCATTGGTGGTTCTTCACTCAAAATATGAGACGCTACCATGACCACTGGTGTTCTGGCGGCACTTCAGAAGGACTTCTCTGGTTTTGTTGGTATGAGAATTTACAGATTCTCGAGTGCACCGTGAACCGCCACAAGCGCGAACTGTGGTACAATAAGGCGGGCGACAGAATGATTGTACGAGCGCTCTGCAATTTAGATCTTTATAAAAATAATAAAGTTGCAATCCCACATGCGCCCTTTCCTTTTGATTTTATGGAGTATGTTATGTGTGAAAGTACGGTTAAATCGCCTCGCAGCGTTATGGCATGTTTTAAACCAATTATGATAAGCTAAATGCTCGGAGTGGTATTGGACTCCTACGAAACTTCTCACTCTAATCGTGAGTGGCACATATTTTTGGTGGGTCGATTCTCGCCCAGCGAGTAGTTGGGGGGGAAACTGAGCAGATCCTAAAGCTTTCGAATTAAGAGCTCAAAATTAGTAACCGGGGTCGTTCTGCGCTCTGTACTGTGCCGAAGGGAGCTAATATCAAAGGATATGTTGTAATAATGATAGACAACGAGATGAAGAATTTCAATTGAGGCTCGGCATTTTTTTTCTTTTTGAAAATGGGCGTGCCTATACGATACTGAAGAAGTAGCCCAGATCGCTCGTAGGTCATGTTATATTTGATTTAATGCTTTCCTAGCGGCGGCCCAGCCGCCGGCACGGCGCATTTTATGATTTAATTAACCGCTGGAATGACTATAGATTGTGTACACATCAGATATGCCGAGAGTGCACACTTGAAATACGTTCCCCTAGCGAACACGAATTCACACTGGCAAATACGAAACGTACACTGTGCTATGTCGCTCATGTCGTATATCATGTGCCCACTCCACATATTCAGTTATAATCCGGTAAACAGCAATTTAACGTCAGCTGATAGCATAGTCGCTGTACTTAATCGCTACATGTAGAATCGTCCAAACAGCGCAGGGTAATTGTCAACAACATTCCACTTGAGGATGGCAGTCAGCGAATTGACTCTCAGAGCCATCGCATCACGCACATGATCTGACAGAGAAGCGACACTGTTGCAGATAGCATAGCGTGGAAGCTAGCCTAGTCAACTCCGCTACATCCGTACAACATGGCCCTCTCTGTGATCTGTTCGTAGATACTAAACTGCACTGGATTGCACCTGCTGTTTTCCGGAGGCAACCATCCGTGATGGCTATGCCAGTCGAAGCCACAACACCTCAGTGTTAGCTAAGATCGCCTACAACTACTGCCTGCAACCTGGAAGGGGCTGAATCAGAGCGTTTGATGTATCTGTTCTTGAAGGTCGAGATCCTATTTCTTGCTCTTCTTGGGAAGTTTCATAGCTGGACCGTCGGGTGGCACCACAGTAAACTGACCCCAAGGATCTGGAAAGTAATATCTTCGTACACAATGAAGATGGTAAAATAAATCAGTTGACGTGAATGAAACGAGATAGTGGACGAACTTCACAGCTGATGGCTTTCAGTAAAATGGTTGCGTAGCAATACGGGAGAATTTGATTTCAGTCGCACTATGTAACTTACTTGTGCCAAACGAACGCAAATTTGCTCGCTTTCCCCGACTTCCACGGTTTGAAACCACCGTTCCAGTGCATCAACTTCGCTTGTTCTGCGATAGAAAAATTAATTGGCAAACATGCCGCAGATTTTTATTAAGTGATAGCGGGGTCTATCTGTTTTGATGATACTTCATAGCTTCATCAGCAGTAGAGATCAGTGATAGGTGGATACAGATACATTTTCAATATCACATTGACTGTGATAGGTGCTCCTCATCCTACAATGGTTGACGACGATACCTTTTAAAATTTACATATTCATGAACATTCTCATACAGAAACTTGGAATCAAGTGAAGACACATATATACTTTGAGTTCCTGAAGATATAGCTAGGTGTAAGTTCAAACACGAATACCAGAGAGAATTTAAGGTTTTTATATGCAAGGGGTATATATTCATCTGAGTGAACAATTGCAAATCATGATATGTCGATACGAGATAGGTGCTGATTGCACTCCGATCACTTACTTGTTATGTCCAGCTTGTAATGATTTCCCATCCACCATCCGAAATGGCGTACATGCCACACTTGCGCCAAAGGGGTAACCTGTGCAGAATGGTACGGCGTAACGATTGAGGTATATGTATAAGAATGCTGCTTTTTATAGAACGCTCAGGTTGGTCACGGTATACATTGACTGGCCCTCCCAGTACTGGACAAGCCCCGTATATCACGGAAGACATACCTCCTGTAGAGTTACAGACCGTTCGGATCACAGCACTATACAACGAGCAAGTTTTGCCCGGATAATGAGAAACTTTGAAACTAAATAGTGTCACAGATTGATATCTGCGCTCAAGAAGTACTCTCCCGATCATGTCAACGGTGACATCAGAGTATCTCAATGCTAAGACCAATCATCTCTCTCGACAACAAGGATTACTACTACACACCGGCCGAGGCACGGATATAAAGACACTAAAATGTATGTTATACAACAACAAGCATGTGCGACATACCAACCCATGTAATGCGATGAGCATTGGTGGCTGAGAAGCACCCCCTGCAATCCCACCGCCGTAGATGTGCTCTTTTGTGTTCCGTTCCATCCAGTAGATGACATTTTCTGGATAGATAGTTAAAATCAAGTCGTTTGCATAAGTGTTAAGCTGCCCCAATAGTAGGAATGTACTCACTCAATTTGTGATCTGACCCGCGTGTGCACCCAACAGCCAGAAAGATTTTTGCAGCACAAGAGCATCAAAGGGCTATGACTCTCGAATCGCAATCTTTTCCAGAGATCAGATCTGATACATTTATAAAACATTCCAGAGATCATACCTGTAACATTTTTTTTCCTCCATTCGTCCAGATCACAAACAAAAACACCAGCATTGAATGATTGCACATCCTTGCCAATGCCCAGATTCTGTATAGTTGGAGTGGGTGAAGAAATAGCGATGCTGACATGCTGGATTGCGCAAGCTGTGCATATGTTATGGCCGCAACACCATCGAGACGAATGCACCGGAAGAAAAAGGCCACACTAGGCGATATGCCTGTGTGTCATGTGGTCGCACTGTCACTAGCTTTAAAGAACACCGATTAATATAAATAAGTGTGTCTGAAAGCTAACGACAGAGCGACAACCCTGACATACAAACCAACAAATAAAATCTATGCCAGTCATTGAGATAGCACGACTTAATCTCTACGATACTAAACAACAAATACTCAATTATCAATCACCGAGTACTTCTGCTGAACGATAGAATACCACGCACCTGGACTGTGGGGTTATCGAAATTCAAGAAGTTGCCTATGGTATTCTTACTATCAGCGGATGCCGCGATCACGTGGCCCTTTTTGATTGGCTGATGCTTCATTTCATTGACGTCGCCGAGTACAATGACATCATCGTCTAGGTAGAGGATACGCCCTGCAGTGATGTATTGTTAACCGAATAATAAAGTCTGGTCTGGTCAGATATAATAAGAAAGCCTGCGCACACATTTGCCGAGCCAATCTGATATGAGAAACAACTTATCGGTTCGAAATAACGAGGCAAACATACATCTTGGACTTGTAGCTGGTCCCTTGGTAGCATATGTCGCGTTGGCCGTACACAGAAGATCACGATCGAAAGATTCCAATCTTGCTCATTAACTCGGATATATATGGTATACATCATTCGTTACAACCTCGGAAACAATGAAACTCACAACTCCGCATACCCAAAACATGAGGAAACAGAGAAGGCATCCAGAATCGTGCAAAATTCAGTGCAGATGAGAGTTCCTTCCGCGTATTGCCACGCAACTGCAGCCGCTCAGTCAGATCCGCTTCAAACGGCACTATCTCCATCACAATGTCCGGAAGAGCTACGGAAAATGGACATAGGCATTGGACGGGAAATTTTAATGAGATACGAGCGGTGATCGAATCCTCGAGTATATACAGACGCATGACAAACAGATTTCTAGGATATTCTGTAAACTTTAAGGCACTCCTGACCCGATATTTTGACCCCAATCACGACTTGAAAACTCTCTGTGGTCACAATTGCATTGAAAACTGATAGTATTGAACTACTGTATTTAAAATGGGGTTCAGTTTCGTCTAAGACAAATTCACAGCAAGTGAAGCTCACAAGCATTATGTTAGTATGATTTAAATGAAGCAATCCCGCCAGATTCTGAGAGTGAAGCTGTACACAAAACTGAACCCCTGACACAAACACTCCTACTCGTACACACTAGCTTGAACCCAATTACTACGCACAAACCTATCAGCCAAAAACGGACACAATTACAGAATTTTACCTACCTGCAAGAATCCATTCCTCAAGGTGCTCCATTTGGCTTTTAACAGTGACAAGGTGGAAGAAAACTGTTGTATTGGTATTCGATAAGATCGAATTCACCAGCGCCACCATGCCGCCTATCGTGCGCTCATCCGAGCAGATCATGGCGTCTACATATTGCGCTCTCAAATCTGTAACCAATGCACAAAAGGGCGTTCGTTGAGCATTCTGTATTTTTTAACAGAGGTCTCTGTCACAGTCACAGTGTACAGGAAGTCCTATTGCAAAACAAAAAAAGAACAAACGTCATACCTGGCAATAAATCAATGTTATATAGCTTCCGACCATCGCTAATGTCGATATCGGCTACTTGGGGGCTCTCTAGATTGTCTTGCAAAAGCGGTACCAGATGCCCTCGTCTATTTGCAACATGTGCTTCATCGAGGATGCTGTAAATGATGGGTAGGTATGCTTCAATATCTCAAACGATCTAAATATAAACTCTTGTTCGAAAGCATAATTCTCACATCGATATTCACAGAGAGGGTATATCTCAAATACGCCTCGAATAAAATGATGTGTATAAACGAAATTGGGATATGACAAGGTGTACTTACTCGTCCTGGATACTGCCCTCTCGGCGGTGAAGATCAGAAACAATATCTGATACCTTCACGCTAGCCTCTCCATGACTTCTGCCCCAAAGACTAAAGATAGCAATGGTAGCTAACACCTGAACAAGTGGTTTTGATAAGTGAAGATTATCAATTTTCTGATGCATCCATATATACCCTGCAAAAGATGCTCGCCAAACGATTTTATATATGTGTCTATTTAGATAATGTATATACACACACATATTTGTCGATAGCCTAACATGGCGCATATGTGTACATGAATCTCAACTTGAATAAGTTTACGCGTAACTGTACGCTTTTCCTGTACGTGAAAACACACATTTGCACAAACGTCTAGATACACATGTGCAGAACTATACACATATATACCACCACTTTTCACTGAACAACATAAATACCAATACATATAT